GATACTGTTGGCACAGAGATATTAAACCTGAAAGCCAAGTCACACTCTAACAGACCCACTCTGAGTCGAGTTAGGAAAAGCCAAAACTCATCTATAGGCTGAAGACTGCGTTGTGCACCTACACTACTACCAGGAAACTTTTTTTCAGTTAAATTAAGGTATGGAAATGCATTGTTAAAGTTAGCATCAGTGGAATTCTTAAGATAACTGTAGTATGTTAATCTAGAACTATTAGGTTCTATGTATTTCCAGAATTCTATCAGCGTTTGATAGTCAGGAAATCCTGTGTAAAAGTTTATGTCCTCATTACTACCTGAGAATCTTTCCAGACCAAATGTAAAAATATATTCTTTCTCCTTGGCTCTAGCAAGTTCTGCTTTCAGCTGCTCTGCTTCTTCTTTCTTTTCATTGATAAATTCTTCGAGTGTTCGAGGGCCAAAAACAACCATATTTCTGCCGGATGAATAAGATGATATTGATGAACCTGCAAGTTGCTGCTCGTCAGGTCCATGCTCGGTTTGTTGTTCAGATTTGGATTTGGCAATCATTTCGTTTCGCAATTTTAAACGTTCTCCTCTGGGGTCATTAGTTACTGGTGCCCATTTAAACACTGAAGGGATTGCTCCTCTCTTTAAATCTCGCCTATGCCCCGTTAAACTTTGTTTGAAATCCGATGGCAAAAAATGCGCAGAACAACAAAACTTATTCGCAATGTTTTTGAAAGTAGCGTCTCCTCTTCGCATTTTGACTTCCCACTTCTTTTTTAAGTAATCATCCTTTGGAAACTCATGAAAAGACAAATCAGGACGATTGTCACTTCGAAAATTACAACTGGCAGCTGCACAACATTTATGTCCCATTTTTTTCTTCGCTGCAATTTTTCCCCCAGCTGTGGCTGCTAGTTCATCCGCCATCTTGGATATGGTCAAGCGTCAAGGGCTATTAAGCCTCGTTTCCATGCAGCATTAATTTTTTGCTGAATCGGTGTATTCATCAGGAGTATCAGAATGAGCATGCGACTCAAGGGGCCAAAGTTATGTTCGGCGAAAGGTATGTTTATAATTTGTTAGTAATATTGCGTAATTTGATCATATACGAGCTCGCTTGACTTTCAAAGCTCATAAATCGCTACAATGTAGCCATTGACTAAAACTATCATTATAAACTAGTATATATTTTTACACTGAATCGAATGGTGGTATTTTCATCTACATAACGTTTACTGAACCGAAGATATGAATGAAACATACTTAGTACGTGCACGTACTAAGTTTAATGGCCGTGCTTTAAAAGAGTTAAGTAAATATTCAAACTTAGCCACTCCCATCCTATAGTACTTTTATAGTCTTTTTTCTCGTTTGAGGGTCATTTAATAGGCTACCATGCATGGTTGCAGAGGCTTGGCGAGGCGAAATCTTTGCAAGGCGAAAGAAACAAGAGGCGAGAAAGAAGTCTTGTATCTTTCGCCTGGCAAAGAGTCTCTAGAACTAGGGTATTAATTAATAGGCAACATGAAATAAATTACTTGATTCTCATCACCGCCCAACTGTATTTTAATTTCAACTCGTAAAATTTTTTATGAAGCGTTCAACAAAATAATTCAAGACAGTTTTTTATATTTCATGTTGGGTTTTTAATGCCATTTTAAACTGCCAATTTCAAACATTACAAACATAATATTGAAAGAAATTTCATTGCATTTTATGGAAACTGGAACTTCACACTCAGTTCAAGGGGCCTCGTTCAAGCCTTAAGGGTTCAGTCGTGCATGGAGGTTCATTGAAAATTATACAGAAATGTGTATTAGGCTAAATGTAATATGTTTGATTTCGGTATGTGACACTTCACTCATTTCACTTCGGAAATCACAGAAATATTAAATGTTTGGAATTTTTTTTTTCTTTATTTAGATATAAATTATATAGATATAAAATATAAACCTCCAGCCTCTTCTACATTTTCATGAAGACATGTCTTCTGGATTGTCTATGATGCCATCTGTCCTTGCCTGTCTATAGCAGACATTGACAACATTTATTTATTACTTTTACCTTATTCCCACTCATGTTTTGTTTTGATTATTTTTTGTAGTAATTGTCTTAGCTTCCTGTTATTTTTATATGAAGAATTATATTATATTCTGTAATGCGAGTTACATATTTTGTTCACACTTTGTTATGATTAAATCCATCTAATTGGGTTTTTTGTCATGTGATGCTTTCATCAGTATCTTAGTATAAAAGCCAGTGCATTTTCCCCTGATCCCTGCTACTAACTCTTGACAAAGGGCTTTCGCTCGAAACGTAGAGTTTCTCCTTGTTTTTTTAAGGTAGTAATATAACCACTCAGCACATCATTTATATATAATACACACATTTACATGCTGCTATAATTATGGCCATTAACAACCTTTGTTCATATTGGTATTTTAACTCCTACTTTTATTTTGTTTCTAGCGAGGGCAAAATTGGGAATTAGAGATGTAGAAGAATGCCGGGTATATGATGAAGTAGATGGCACAGAAATCAATGACGATGAATGCTTGGCAGTGTGCGACAATTCCAGGGTTATTCACCTGTTCCATCCCCGGTTGTCTCACCTGCAACCACAGCTGTTTCCAAGCCTGTGACGGCAACCTCTTGATGCCTCTCCCGTTTCTGCTGGTGACGGCTCTGTCATTATAAATGAAGCTGAAGGATTTGAATCTTCAATAGGTGGGTACAATAATTGGAAACAGATATCGATATTATCATGTCAACACCAAATATCCAAGTGTAGATAAGCCTGCCAAACAACAGGATGAAATTGCCATTCCCGAACAAGATAAAGAAGCTGGCGAAACGTCTAAAGACGATCTTTACTGGGAGAGCTAGAAGGCAAGGAAATAAAAAAGAAAAAAGTCAACGGTAAGGACTTCGTTCTTAATACATTGTAAAGCTTACCGTACAGTGGATTATGAAATAATCCAGAGACCGTTTTTTAACGCTGGATTTATAGCAGCCTACCCTTGGTTAAAATTTTTAACTGCTGCTTCAGTTTTACGTATATTTCAGCACGTCTGTTTATTTCACAACTTCAGAGAAGATAACACAGAAGTTTGCTTTGAATTTTAGGTTCACGTGGTCTGTCTTGCATCGAGTTCTTTTTGTCAGCTATCAAACACCGGTCCAAGAGAAAGCTGTTTAGTTCACATTTAAATTATTCAATAATAAAACAATTAAGCAGGCTGTACAATTATGCTTATGTTTGTACTAGACATTAAAAAATGATGTTCATCTCCCACTTTGTTTAACTGACACAAAGTTTGCATAGTCTATCATTGTATGAGACATTGTTGTATCTACCAGTTTCAACAGTTAGCTTATGTAATGTTCTGATATTATTAAGTTTGTAATAGCTTGACGATATTTGAAATTGCTAATTTCATTTAAGTATTTTGCACATTCAAAATGTTTTTTTTTTATAATTTAGTAAAAGTATACAACTATTCATGTAGACAAATATATTTACATAATATAATTATATGCTTTGTAATTTTTAGATGATAGCTCCTGGTCGAAATTGATGAGACCTGAATTCCAACATGCAAAGCAGAAAGGATTCAAAATATTTACGAAAAATGAAATAAAAACTTGTAGATATGAACTTCAACAAACAAGAAGGCAGTTTTTTGGAATGAGAAAGCGGAAAAATTATACTCTCATTCAGAAACTGCCAATCTGCCAAAAAACCACGATCAATGGGATCATCGACACTGAGAAGAACATCATTTTATCGGGATGAAGCTAGAAGACTTGATCAAAATGAGGAAGAATTGTTTCCTGACGATACTAGCGCATCATGGAAAAGGAGATCAGGGAAACAAAAAGCCAAAACTATTGGAAAAACGTACATCGAGAGAATGGAATCTACTCATCTACTCATCAATGAAAAAGACAAGGAACTTCAAAACATCAAAGCAAGATTCAAAAAATGCACCAGAGAGGAATGGGATTTAACAGAAGAAGAATATAAGAAAGTTCGTGTTCAACTTGATGAAGTATACACAAAACTAAAATTTGCTCAAGAAGCACTCTCAAAGGCGTTGAAACACAAAAGAGAAAACCTCCACAAACGCCTAAAGGAAAAGAACGAACGTGACTTCAAAAGTGATTACAACAGCAGAAAAACACCTGATGCTAATTTAACTGTCTATCTTTATCCATGGCAACTGTTCATGCTATAGCCTATGCAAATAAATGTGACGAGCCAAGAGATTTCCAAGTAAATATTTGAATAATTAGAAAAATCAACTTTTGCATAGCATGACCAGTTGCTATGCAACTAACTTAAAACAACTGCAACTCAGAAAAGGAACATTTTAATATTCTAGCTTTCGACTACGTTTTAGTAATCATCAGTGTAGCTATTTGAAAACTAGAATATTAAAATGTTCCTGGTAGGTAGGTTGCTCTCATCTTTATACTGGTGGTATCTCATCAAGGCATTTTGCTCATTTTCAGTTCCCCACAGACAATTTGCATTTTTTGTTTGGCTTGGTTTAGTTATTGTGTTCACAATACTCTTTGGATATGTTGATTTCCTTCTCTTTACCACAACACCAAACATTGATGCAGTCAGCCGGCATTTTCTTTTGTCATACCACTCCTTGCATTGGCTTTGTTGATATGTGTTCTTTTCAATTTCATGGCATCCCTTTTTGTCAATCATAAATCTTGTGGTGATAAACTCTTTGCAATTGTCACTTCCTGGAACATGACTGCAATCTAATTTGTCATCTAACTTTGATAGTATATTAGACCTTACAAATGTCTTCTCTAGCTTATCGCCCATTTCATGTGCCTTAACAATTCTTTGCCTAGATGGTAATGCATCGACATCAAACTTACAAGGTTCACGATCAGTGTCAGTTAGTACTCCAATTAAATAACAGGTACCAGCTTCTTCTAAACCAGACCTCCTTTACAAATCTTTTCACATGTTGAGCTGTAACTGTCTCTTTTACCTTCTACCACAGCATGTTTGCGTCCCTTTTTGTTCTTTTCATATGTGTCCTGGGGGAAAATTAAGTCTTTGAACAATAGAGCTTCTTGTGTGGTGGATTGATTTTTTTGGAACATGCCATTTCTGTATTTCTTGAGTGCATGTCTTGTCATCTGGTATATCGGACAGGCCTAGTTCTACGTAATCCAGAAGCTGGAACAAAGTAGCTGCCACATGCTTACAACAGCCTCCAACACCGGCAGGACAGCAACACTTTGAAAAAACAACATCTCCAGAACTTTGATCCAGGTGCACATGAACAATATATTGTTTTTTTCGCATTTCAGCAAATACATGACACCGTACAAGAAAGTAAATAGCCTTATCTCCTTTCTTCACATTTGGCTTGACCACAAATTGCCTTGGATAACCGGCCTTGAAAAGTCTGTATCCACTTTTTTATGTTTAAATGCTTAAGCAGGCTTGTTGTCAGGTGTTTTTTTAGCATCCAGTACCAAATGTTCCTCTAATTTCTGGTATGAAAATTCTGGGATATCCTTTAAACTCTTTGTCCAACCATCTCTAATGCTGCCAAATTTTTATCTGCCTCTATTGAAGTTCCTGGTTCATTATCCATATTTAATTTAACTTAAACCTATCCTAACAATTTTAAAATTAACTATCACGGTGGGCATAAAAGACAGCGAAACTCCCTCACAGGATAGAACTTAACATTCCTAGAAATCGTATGTTTTTTGTTTTTCGATTTTGTTACATTTTGGCGGGAAAATGACGTGCCAACTTTGGCGCCAAAAAATTAAACACCGAACTAAGAACATGCTAGTAACTTTTTCGAAAAGATTGTCCTATAAGGATCTCAAAACTGTAAAAGCATTAAAAATACAACAAGGCAGTGCGAAGATATGGCGATTCAAAGTTCTATTTTTACTGAAAAATCAGCCATTTTGTTACTAAAAATAGATTTTTTTCGAACTTTGAATCGCCATATCTTCGCACTGCCTTGTTGTATTTTTAATGTTTTTACAATTTTGAGATCCTTACAGGACAATCTTTTCGAAAAAGTTACTAGCATGTTCTTAGCTCGTGTTTATTTTTTTGGCGCCAAAGTTGGCACGTCATTTTCCCGCCAAAATATAACAAAATCGAAAAACAAAAAACATACGATTTCTAGGAATGTTACGTTCTATCCTGTGAGGGAGTTTCGTGATATTCCAAACTAACGAGAGAAAGTTATATGTACTTGGCCAAATTCGCTGTCTTTTATGCCCACCGTGTATCTAGAAATTTAATTTTTAGGACCTGCCTTTATTTTTAAAAATATTAATATATTTATATTCTTTTTGTATTTGTATTTTGTATATATTTGTTTTGCCCACAAAAGATATTTACAATTAAGTAATTTAGAATATTTACAATAGTATATGGGGGCTAGGAACCTTTGGAAATCCTGTTGGACTTTTAGATAAGGTCCCTAGTTTTGAAAAATCAATTACAAGTAACAACTATTACAAATGTTGACAAATAAGGCAGTATATATTACGATTATTTACATAAAAATAGTTAAAAGAATAAGGAGGTAAAAGTTGACTTTATTGTACAGTATTTGCATTAAGCAGATAGTAAGTAATAGGATTTTATTTTTTTCTTAAAAGAGAAATACGATTTGATATTTTTCATATTTTCATTGAGAACATTCCATAAAGAGACGCCTTTTGTTAAACACAGTATATTTACGATAATTAGTTCTTTGAAAGTTCATGTGTAACTTAGTGGAATTACGTGTATTATAGTTGTGTAATTCACTGTTTTGTTTAAAATAATCACAATAAAAGTCCGGCAAATTATTTTGATAATAAAAGAATCGATACATAAATATACTACATAGATAATCATTAATTTTGTAGACATTCAAGATTTTCAAGTCCAAAAATAATGGTTCAGAATGATCCGAATAAGATTTAAAACAAATTAATCGAACAATTTTCTTTTGTACATTCATTATTTTTTGCAATCTTGTGGGATATGTATTTCCCCAAACAAGATTCCCGTACGTGAGGTATGAATAAGCTAATGCGTAGTAAATCAATTTTAAAGTGTTTCTATTTGTATAATGTCTTAGTTTAGCGATCAGACCTGTACATTTAATAATAGTTTTCAGAACTGAGCTGATATGGTTCTTCCATGTCAACTCTTCGTCAATTATAACTCCTAGAAACTTTACAAACGTCACTTGCTTAACCAAATCATTATTTATTTTGATTGTATTATCTGTATTCAGTAAAGACTTATTTTTTTATTTAAAAATTACAAACTTTGTCTTAGAAGCGTTGATTGATAATTTATTG